TGGGGTGTCAGGTCCCTGTGCCCAGAATGCCACCCACCCTGCCCCACCATGTAGCATTGGACATGTTTGTGGGTGTCTGCGAATGTCCTGCACACCATCATCACAGGCAGCAGTGGTATAGGGAAATCTCCTGGGGCCACTCTGCATCTCAGCTGTGGCCTGACATTGTGGTGAGGGCATTTCTGAGAGCCAGACTGCTCTTCTTCCCTATCTTAGGGGACCCAGCAGGCATGCAGTCCACCTGCCTGTGACTGTGGCAGTGGTTCCAGTGGCCTGGCTGCTGGAATGGGGCCAGCCACTCCTGAGGCAGGCATGTGCAGGCCATCAGAATGGGTTCGGAAAGACAGAAGCATAGCAGAGACAAAAGGCAGAGGAGGGCGTTCTCACAGCTACTTGTAGATTTGAAATGATTTCTAGGGGATTGATGTGGGAAACTACCCATTTGTTTAGAGCTGCAATACCAGGCCACACACCCACCTGAATAGCCAGTGCAGCACCTGAGGGGGCCTGCTGTTTGGCAAGCTTCTTCATTGCCTTCCCATACACAGCACAGACAGGCTATGTCCAGGGTGCCAAGAGCCAGGATCCATGGTCCCACGCTGTCCTGTGGCTGCAGGTGCTTTGGAAAAGCCATGTGCAGGCTGGACATGGGCTTTTCCGTGTAAGTGGCGGTCTCAGGGGTGCCCCATTATTTTAGATTGTCCTTCATTTGACATTTGTGCCAGAGAGAGAGTCAGACCTCATGTTTTCTGGGTCCTTTCCCTGGCAGAGGTGGGCGTGCCAGTGCCGCTCAGAGCCCACCCCACTGTGCCACACACCCTGAGAAGCCCCACAAATGAATTTGGTTTTCCTATTACATGGAATTCTGGCCCAGGTGGGAACCATCAGAGTTGCGAGCCCCTCTCTCTGTCCTTCTGCTTCCCATTCTTGGCATGAAGCTTCCATCCTGGTACACACAAGAGGGCTGAGAATGATTGGTGCTTTCCCGGTGGACATCTGTACACCCTAGGGACCAGAGCCTGTCCCTCTAGCTGCAGGAGAGTTTGGAAAATTGAGTGTTTTAGCATGACACACAGCCCCCCAAAACAAAATTGGGGTCCTCTTAGTAAGGAGGATGGAAGCCCAGCACTGCTGTCAATCGTATGTGCACGGGTCATCTCCTCTCAGACCATCACCCACCCCGAAGGTGGCAGGCTTCCCTGCTGTTGTAGCAAGCATGGAGCCCAGCACATGGTAGGTGCTGCGCTGAACACTGGGCAGCTCTAGCTCTGCTTTTAGGGGGAAGCGACTCATCTGAGGCACAGGTCCAGCACCCACTCTCCAGGAGCCCCCTAGTCAGACGGAGGAAGCACAACCCTTGCCCCACCACATGAGTGCTGGACAGAGGGTGGTGGCCAGCAAGAGGTGTCACCATTACCCCTCAAAAGCCTTGCTTGACAGAGGGTGGAGGCCAGCAAGAGGTGTCAACATTACCCCTCAAAAGCCAGGAAAAGCCCAGGGATGCCATGCTGGGAGGCAGAGGGGAGTTCCCCCTCCCCAGAGTCTCCAGTGGCTGAGAGCACAGTCAAGTCCAATTCTCACTCAGATGGGGCTGACAGAGGTAAATCAGAGCTTGGGGGTTTCATTTCAGCTGAAGAAGGACAGAAGGGAACCCTCAGGGGCATCTGTGTGCCCTGCTCTGTGGCAGCAGCTCTCTCTCCCAGCAGGGAGGGACCGTCTGAGACCTGAGGGACCCTATCTCCAAGGCCTTTGTGCCTACCAGTGTGAAACCAGCCAAGACCAAGAGCCAGGCCTTGGTTGAACCCTGCCCTGCCTTTGCCTACTGTGTGGCTGTGGCTCCCCATCAAGTGGATGACAAGGACCCCACCTACCTACAGAGTACCTGATGTACACAAAGGATGAAGGTGTATTTTGGCTCATAGTTTCCGAGGTTCCAGTCCATGGTCAGCTGATTCCACTGCTAGAGGCCTGAGAACCATGAAACATCATGGTGGAAAGACGTAGCGAAGCAAAACTGCTTACCTCATGGCAGCCGGGAAGCAGGAGGGGCGGGGGGAAGAGCCAGAGAGGGTGGGGCAGGAGTAAGTCCCCAAGGTCATATTCCCATGACCCACTCCTTTCAAGTAAACACCCCCCCCCAAGTCCCTGTTGCCTCCCCATGAAATCATCAGAATAGGTTCACATTGGCAGATGAATCCACTGAATTTACAGCCCTCAGGATCCAGTCACCTTCCAAAAGCCCACAGCTGGGCCGGGGATTTAGCTCAGTGGTTCTGCCCCCTGCCTCAAAAGTGCAAGGTCCCGAGTTTGATCCCTGGTACCAAAAAAAAGTTACCAAAAGCCCACATCTGAACACATGAACCTTTTGGGGACATTTTAGGTCTAAACCATAACACATAACACCAGTTAGCTTCTTGGATGTTGAGGTTTCTAAAAGCAAGGTTCTCCTGTAATGTAGCCACACCACGTTGGGGCAAGGTAAAGAACCAACCCAGCTGAGCCCCTCCCTGACCTGGCCCAGGGAGCTTTCCCTGCCTGGCAGGACCAGAGCAGAGCCCTCTCCCTGCAGGCTCTGTGTCCCCACCCTTTAATGTTCTGGCCCAGCAGGCCTGGAATGACCTAAGCCACTACTGGCCAAGTTGTGAGAATAGACCCAGCTGGGCAAGGGGGCCTCAAAGCTGGAATTTGAAGGACTGCCCTAGACCCATGGTCCCTAGCATGGGTCTCTATGTGGCTCTTTGTGCATGATGACACACAGGGTGCTGGCCAAGCTGGCCCCACCTGTTCTACCCAAGGACCAGGAAGGCCCCCCCCGGGGCCAGAAGGACATCAGCATTTGTAGGGTCCTGGCCATGAACTCAGGATCCTCTTCAGTCACTGGGCGGTGCTAGGGTCCCCAACTCCTTCATGTGCACAGGCTGAGTCGGCAGGGTTAGATGTCCCGTGTCACTGCCCTCTGCCAGCTAGAGGGGTGGGGACCCCTCAGACTTGGGGAGCTTCACTGTGGAGGGTCAAGCGCACACATGTGGGCTTTGGGGTCAGACGTGGCTGTGGGGCTTTAGGCAAATGACTGGACCACTCTGGGCTTCCTCAGGCTGGAAGCTTCCAGAGCCCAGGAGTTGCTTTGCCCTGTTCCCCCCTCCATAGATAACCTGAGAACCCCCTCGTCTGTGCACTTTTCAGGGAAGGGTGCAGGTCCAGGGGCTGTGGAAAGGCCCCAGGTGCCCCTCTTCAGTCAGACCCTGTCCTGAGCCACTCCATCCGCCAAGCTGCTGGGCCTTCGGGAAGGGAGACCCTGCAGTGTGCTGCCTCGTGGGCTGTGACCGGGCGTGTGACTCTTGTTTCATTGTTTTGTTGGAACAGCTTGGTTGAGATTTAATTCACATAGCACACAGTCCACCCACTTCAAGGGCACAGGCCGAGGATTTAGTGCATTCACAGCTGTATGACCATCACTACAGCCAACATCAGAACATTTCGGTCGCCTTAAAGGGAACCCTGCCACCCTCAGCTGTGACCACACATTCCCCCATCCAGCCCCTGCCCCCAGCCAGAGGTGGAGGCAGCCACTGATCTACTCTCTGTCTCTAGAGATTCTGGAAATGGAGTCATGTGACATGTGGCCTTCCGTCTCTGCTTCTCTCTAGCATCGCATCCTCAAGGCAGGTCCTCATAGCCATGCCATTGCTGCACTTCCTATGTGAAACAGCTTTCCGTCGTGTGCCTGTATCTCATTTTGTTTGATTTTTCACTGCTGAACATATGGGCACTTCCCACCTTCTGAGATGTCTACAAGCTCCTGCATTTCCACTCCTCTGGGGTTTGTGCCTAAAGGTAGAATCGCTGGCTCTGTGGTAACTTTGCATTTGATCTTTTGAGGACCCACCAGACTATTTCCCAAAGCTGCTGTGCCATGGTTACTTTCTCCCCACAGGGTGGGAGAACTCCCATTTCTCAAATCCTTCCCAGCACGGGTTGCTGGCTTCTTTATTTCAGCTGTTCTTGTGGATGTGGAGTGGGGTCTCACAGTGGTTGTGACTTGTGCCTCCCTGATGACTGAGGGTGTCACATTCCTTTTCATGGACTTCCTGGCCATGTCTTGGAGACTGTTTAGATTCTTCACCCATTTTTTAACTGGGTTGCCCTTTTCTTTTGTTTCTTCTTCTTTTTTTAATATGGCCTCCCCAATGACCTATATCCCCGGCCCTTTCTATCCTTTATATTTATTTATGCATTTTATTTTGAGACCAGGTCTCACTAAGTCAGTAAATGGCCTGGTCTAGGGTTAAAAGTTTGCCATCTTCCTGCCTCAGCCTCCTGGAGTGCTGGGATTGCAGGCATGTACCACCACACCTGGCTTCTTTTTCTTGGTTTTCTTTCTATAAATGGGTTGTCTTTTTATTATTGAGTTGGAAGAATTATTTATATATTCTCAAAATAAGTCCTATATCACATACAGGAATTGCAGATATTCTCCCCCATTCTGTGAGCTGTCCTCAAATTTTCTGATGCTGGCCTTTAAAGCAAAAGTGTTTAATCTTGATGAAGTCCGATTTATATTTTTTTCTTTTGTGGCCCATTTCTGGGTATCTTATCTTGCATGTTTTTAATCAAACTCTTCTCCCCAGGGAGAAGATGGAGCAAATGAGGGGCTATTTGGCTGGGCCAAGTCATTTTGTGGCCCAGCAGCCTCCCAGTGGCCTTGGGAGTTCATCTTGGCAGAGAATTGGGTCCCTTCCACTTCTGGGGTTATGGGGCCAGGAGCTCCCCAGGCATCAGCTCCTGACCTCAGGGGACTCGGCCAGTTCGGAGCCGGGAAGAATAAGGCCTGCTTCCTGTGTGGGTGGGAAATCTGAGGGGTGAGAAGAGGGGACTGTGGACACGGTGGATCTGGATTTGGATCCTGGGAGTCCGGTGGAACACTGGACATTTCACCATCTGTTAAAAAGCACAGGGGCAGGTGCTGGGGTCTCAGGGCTGACGCACTCTTCTGTCCACAGCCATGAAGGCCGACCGGAAGCGCTTAAAGGGAGAGAAGACAGACCTGGTGAGCCAGATGCAGCAGCTGTACGCCACGCTGGAGAGCCGTGAGGAGCAGCTGCGGGACTTCATCCGCAGCTACGAGCAGCACCGCAAGGTCAGCACCACCCACTGGTCCCCGACAGGCTGAGCTCTGTGCTGGGCTGGGGCACCAGGGGAACGGGCGCAGCCCCCAGGGTGTCTGGGCCTGGACAGTGTTCATGTGGGAATGGGGGTCTGGCTGCTACTAACCCCTGTTCCCATGTTTGCCCCCGGCTTCCCATTATCTCTCTGACCCTCAGTTTCCTCATTGGCAAGAGGGTGATGGTGCGCAGCTGCTGTGAGGATTCTGGGGTTGTGCACACCAAGCACATGGTGTGGTGCCTAGCACATAACAAGCACTCAGTGACTGGGAGCCGTTCAGCTGATGAATGCTCCCATAACAAGTGTGGGGAGAGTGGTGCTCCTGAAAGACAGCAGGAAATTCTTCCTGCAGGGAGAGTCTGGGAAGGCTTCACAGAGGAGGTAATGTACGAGTTGGGCTCTGTGGGATGAGTAGGAGTTTGTGGGTCAGATAGATACCTGAGGAATTTGATTCAGCAAATACCTGCATGATATCTGCAAAATAATGTGCCCAAGAGGATAATGACACTGGAAGAGTCCAGCCCCAGCCAAGCAGGGCTTTGTGAGCCACTGTGTCTGCAGAGGATTTGAACCCTCTGGTGTGCAGGGCAGAAGAACAGCAGAGAGCCTCTGTCCCAGGACAAGACACAGTGGGCAGGGCGAGGATCGTGGGAGGTGGGGTTCACAGTTTGCAGCACTTTTGGTGATGGGAGGGCTGAGCTGTTCTGGCCACAAGCAGTGGACAGTCCCAGCAAGGATGTGGGCTCTGAGCCAGAGATGAGAGGCTCTGTCCCCATGCCCGGTCTGCTGTTAACCACTGATACTGCTGTCCTGTCCCAGGGCCCCACATCCCTTCTTCTCCGTGATGAGAGTGGCTGAGCACTCTCTGCCAGGCCCCCAACAGCCTGGATGGTGTTCGGGGCTCCAACTGCCCTTGGTGACCCCTCAGCCACTGCTGCCTCCGTCTGTCCACAATAGGTCTCTTAGCTCAGCCTTCTGCGTCTGCCCCTGCCAGATACAGTGTGCAGGCTGGGGACACCCTGGAAGGTGGCAGAGGACAGGGACAGAGCCTGGGGTCTGCACCCTCATTGCCATTGCTCATTGCTGTTGCCCCAGCCACCACAGGAATCTGATGCCGGCAGCTCAGGCATCTCCAGAGAAGGAAGCCAGGGGCCCTGTTCCGTGATGACACAGGTACCTGCCTATGTGCATGCCGAGTTGGGACAGTGCATAGTTTTACGTGCTCAGAGCAGAGCCCCCTCGGAGCCTGTGCTCTGTGTACCTCACAATCACACTGCGCCATGGGGAGGGGTGCCCACACAACCCCATTTCACAGCTGAGCTGAAGGGGAGGCAGAGTCACCCCTCCATGGCAGCTGGGCAGGGTGCAAAGGACTGGGGTGCAGAGCCTGCTTTTAGACCCCAAGTACTGGGGCCACCTTTCCCCAGATCCCAGCCTCTTTTGTCCCCTCTCCCTTGTCCTTGCCCAGCTGGATGGGCTACAGCGGGCCCCAAGGAAGCTGGTCTTTCCCATCAGCAGGGAAACCTGGGCACCTTTGAGTGGGAGGACAGGACACAACCTGACACACTCTGGTGCCAAGCTGGTCCCAGCCCAGGGCCACCAGTATAGGAACAGACAGCAAGTGACAGTCTCACCTCTTGCCAGGGACCTGCCTGGCTATCACCTCCCATCTCTGGCACAGGGTGACAAGGGCAGCTACTCAGCACTGAGTGTCACTGCTGCCATCTCAGGCTGGTAGTTTTCACTGCAGCAATCGCCATTTTATTATTATTGTTTCCTGGGACTCAAGTCAGTCGTTTGATCTCGAAAATGCTGCTGTGGGCTTCAAAGCCTCCTCCAAGCGGGGCTTATCTGTCACTGCCTGGTGTTGGTCTCCCTGGCACCCAGAGAAGGAAGCAAAGCCCCTTGCTGACGGGAGTGGGCCAGCCCTGGGAGGGTGGCAAACAGGCAGGAACTGTGCAGAAAGAGCCCCAATGGGGCATGAGGGTATCAAAGGACCCTGGAGCCAGGCGCTGGAGGAAGTTACCCAGGACCTGCACCTTGAAAGAGGACAGATGGGGATTCAGAAAAGCCAGGGACAGACGTTCCAGTATAGGACCCCAAGGATCGAAACTGTGGAGTCATTAGGGGACATTCTCTGATTGTGGTTGAGGCGATGGACATCTTCAGAGGTCGCCTTAGTGGGAGCTGGTATAAAGATGATCTTTTTTTTTAATTTTAAAAACTTTATTATCAAACACACATACATACAAAAATTAAAACCATTCAAAAGGGAACAATGCAAGGGGAAAAAACTACAATAATATTCAAATACAGTAGAACTCAACCAAAACAAAACTGAAAAGCACTTAAACATTTTTCCATATAACTTAAAAAAGCATCTCAAGCACCAACAAGACACCAGAGGATGTGATTTGTATCAGAAAGATCCCCAAAACCAACACTGAACAAATAGTAGTCTAGAAAAAAACTCCAGTTAGTTAGCAGACTCCACATAAGCCAAGCTTCTCCCTAATTTAAATTTCGATACAGTCGTATGACACACGATGGAAACACAATCTGAGAAGTATGTTATTAGGCAATTTCATCCATGTGTATCCTCAGTTACACTTTCAGTTTCTCACACTAGAGAAACTATTCTGTATTCACCCACGTGTAATACTGTTAAGATGATCTTAACAGTAGCAAGCATTTATTGTGCACCTACTCTGTGCAGGCATGGCCTTCATCACTTCACATTTGCCATTGTAACAGTAACTCGGGCCTGGGATTGTCTTTCTTACCCTGATTCACAGAGGTGACCATGGAGGCTTAGGTGAGGTCCCCAGCCTGGGGTCAGCACAGAGGCAGGATGCCAGCCCCGGGGTCAGCTCCAGAGCCTGCAGTGTCCCCAACACTGTGCAGAAGTGTTTTGATGGGCCCAGGACTCGTCTCTCCGCTGGTGATGTACAAGGTGCCCCAGAGTGGTCCCTGGGGAAGTGGCTGTGGTGCCAGTTATTCCATTGGCAGCACAGCCAACCTGGGGCTTAACACCAAGTGCTTCTCCATGTCTTTGGATGGAGAGTCAAATTCACTCCTGTGTGGCAGGAAAATCCTGCAAATTCCATGTCATTCTGAACCCATAGGTAATAAAAGGGCTTGTGCACCCTGTCAGCAGCAGGGCTGGGGTTGAAGCTACAGAATTAAGTGGAAGCTTTCTAGTAGAGACCCCCGTGTGCAGCTCACTATGGCCCAGCTGAGCCCCAAGGGTCATGTTCATCGACTGACTTCACAATACCTTTTAGGTTCATTCGGGAAAATTAAATTTGGAAAACACCTTTTTTTGCCACTACTGGGGCCTTCCCACTGAACTTACATCCCCAGGGTGCCTCTCCACTTTTTAATTTTAAGATAAGGTCTCACTGTGTTGCCCAGAATGGACTTGAACTTGCAATCCTCCTGCCTCAGCCTCCCAGAATGCTGGAATTGCAAGCATGAGCCACCATGACCAGTTGAAAACACTCATTTTTAAAAATTATTGCTCTGATCCTGGATTTCATGGAGGGCAACTCCCCCCTCCCGCCAGAGCTCCAGCCAGGCCATAGCAACAGCAGGGTCACAGCCTCTGGTCAGTGTTGGGTCCCTGCCCATTTTACAGGTGCGGTTTCCAAGGCCACATATTTAGAGCTGCTCAGAGAAGCTGAAGCCACATGTCCTTGTGGGGTCCTCAAGGGGTCCCTGGGCCCAGAATCCCCCACTGGGTCGTAACCCCCATGGACACTGTCTCTACCCCACCCACAGGAGAGCGAGGATGCCGTCAAGGCCCTGGCCAAGGAGAAGGACCTGCTGGAGCGGGAGAAGTGGGAGCTGCGGCGCCAGGCCAAGGAGGCCACGGACCATGCGGCAGCCCTGCGCTCCCAGCTGGATCTCAAGGACAACCGCATGAAGGAACTGGAGGCCGAGCTGGCCATGGTGAGAGCCGCTCGCTCGGCACGAGACCTCAGGCTGCCCTGAAAGCCCAGGGGGAAGGAAGCAGGCAGCACTCCACAGCCCGAGGCCCCCAGAGCCCATGTGTCCCTGTGCCAGGAAATGTGGGCACAGCGGGAGACCTTAGCTCATCCACACTCCCCAGGCAGCTGCAGACAAGAGCAGAGAGAAATAGGTTTGGGGAAATATATATTTGTTTAGGAAAATACTTGGAAGAAGATACACCAAAATAGGAACATTAGTTATCTCAGATCAGAAGGACTGCACATGACTTCTATTTCTTTCTTTTTCCCTCTTTTTTCGTATGTATCTGCAGGAAAAGGCTCTTACCATAAGCATCACCCAGGAAGAAAAATGTTATTTTTAATTGCAAAACAAACCCCTCAAATATTCCCAAACACTTTTCTGAGAAGGTGCCTGGGGTACCCCTGTGTAGGGCGGAGCACCCAGGGCCAGAGCCCCAAACCCAGAATTTGGTTTTCCCTGCCCTGCATGACCTGAGCTGCACAGGACTCTTCCGAGCTTCTGGTCCTTCCTGTTACTGGGACAGGGGCCAGGGTCTTAATCCCACACTCCTCTCCCCAGGGTGCTGGGTAGACAGAGAGCTGAGGGGTAGAAGGGTCTTTGAAGGCCACCAGGGCTCCTGGGACAGTGGCGGTGGAGGTTGTACAGGGAGTCCCTGAGGAGGGCCTCACTTGGCTCCAGATGGGCGTATCCTGCAGGGCTCTCCCCTCTCTGGGCCTCCCAGTGAAGTAATGCAAGGGACACTTAGCACAGTGCCTGTGGTCATAAACAATGACAGGATGGTTTCCTAAAGCAACTTGCTTAAGGGCAGGGCTGGCTCCTTGTGTCTTCTGGGTCTCTTTGCCAGACACTGACCCCTAACGGTGAGGGCCGTCCAGGCAGGAAGAGGCCGCAGCCCGGGGTCCCCTCTGGGGTGGGCTTCCCACTGTGGTGTGGGCAGTGCTGCTGCCAGCCCCACACGTCTCAGACCAGCTCTCCCAATGCCCAGGACAGACAAGCACAGTGTCTCCTTGCCTGGAGCTCGGGTCCCCACATCCTGGGGACTGCTTGGATTGGGAGCCACTCACCTCAGCCCCTGGTCCCCCCATGCACACTCAGGGGCCTGCCTCCTCCTTCCAGCAGACATCCAGTCCTCAGCTGTGGGGAGGTTGCAGCCTAGGTAGTGGATCTGTTGGCGCAGCAGCATAGGCAGTGTCTGCCCAGGGACAGAGGACAGGGACCTAACACAGCCATGGCGGCTCCTGGCTTGTTGGGGAGCCCGTCTAACAGCAGGTCCCCTCTGTCACCCACCACCTGTGGTTCACAGGCAGACTGAGTCATCAGCCCGCCCAGCTGCCCTCTCCACCTTGCTGACCTGGGGGCCGCTCTGACTAGCTGTGCCTGCAGGAGTCAGGATCCAAGGTGCCCTGGGAAGGAAGAGGCCAGGCTTAGAGATGGGCCAGATGCTGATGCACTGCAGAATCAGGCCGGCCTGGGCTCCAGGCAGAATGGTTTCACTGTGGCCCCTACCGGGGAGGAGCCCCGGCACTTTGTCCTCTTTGATTGCACCTCCTCCCTAGCTGGGATGAGTGAGGCGTGGGGCCTGTGTCTGCTTCAGTTCTCAGGCTGAAAGCACAGGCTGCAACTGCTCCCTGAGGCCCTGAGGGTAGGGAAGAGGGTCCCAGCCACCTCCCCGAGGGAAAACTTGGCTCTCCTCATAGTGGGGTTTTGTTTTGTTTTGATTTTTGTGGTTCTAGGGATTGAAACCAGGGGCTGCGCACTAAGCTACATTGCTAGCTCCTTCCCTTTTTATTTTGAGACGGGACCTCCCTAAGTCATTAAGTTGCCCAGATTGGCCTCAGACTTGTGATCCACCTGCCTCAGTCTCCCAGATTCCTGGGATTACAGGAACACACCACCATGCTCTCAGTGAGTTTCTGGTGCACAGGAAGACTACAGTCAGTCATCCAACAGCCATGCGCTGTTATTCCCAGCAGGCAGACAGGGACAGGGAGACATGAAGAGGGGAGGAGCCTCTCAGCATCCCATGACTCAGAAGTTGCTGGGCTGGGACCAAACTCTGGCAGCCTGATTGCAGAGTCCCAGGCCCAAAGCACCAAGCTTCCGTATCTGACCCGTGAAGACCCTGGGCTAAGTGGTGGAGAAAGTTGCTCAAGCTGACACAGCAAGTAGTACAAGTGGATTCTGAACACATTTCTACCTTGACTTTTGTCACGTGGGCATATTTGTGGGCATATTTACCAGTTTGCAGGTTCTGGGAGTCAGGAGAAGGTGGAGGCTCAGAAAGGAAAGAGGGGGTCAGAGCTCAGGAGGGGCTCCCAGCATTAGGCTGTATTCATGGGAGAGGTCAGTAGAGAAACGCTGTATAGATTGCCACAAGGAGGTGGGCCAGCCCAGCCCAAGTGTCAGACTCCCCAGGACTCACCTGCAGTTTAACTGTCCCCTGTAGCGTAGTCTTCAGAATCTCAGATATTGTGTGGCAACTGTTATCCCAGCACTTTGGGAGACTGAGACAGGAAGATCACAAGTTTAAACCCAGCCAAGACCCTGTCTTAAAATAAAAAGGGCTGGCAATGTGGCTCAGTGTGAAGGGCCTGGTTTCAAACCCCAGTACTGGAAAACATAATTCTGTATGGGCAGAATGAGAACCTCCTGTGCCCCAGAGCACACTGGTACCATTGCCAGTCCTGAGCCTGTGACAGAAGGTGCCACCCAGGCCCGACAAGGGTGAGGCCCTGCTGGGTGGCGACAGGAGAGCATCCTGCCCAGCTTCTTCCTCTCGCCCTCCTGTGCCACCTCACAGGGCTGCTTGTTTCTGGGACATTCCCATGCTTTCCATGTATGTGGCTGGGAATTCTGCAAGAGGGCAGAGCCCAGGGCTACCTGCTGCATGATGGGCCTCCTATCTCCTGCCCACGAGCTGGGAGAGCTGGTCAGGAAGTAGAAATGGACAGAGATGAGAATATATATTCTAATACGTGTGCCTTTTCTCCCCAAAAGAATTGGCGCTCACTTCCAATAGCACACATGTACCCTGGGGGGAGATGGCACAGCTAAGGCGTCTCAGCGGCTGGGCAGAGCAGAGCTGCAGTCACCCCAGAGGGCCCTGCCTGCCCTCACTCTACCTCAAAGTATCCCTGGGCTGCTTCTGGTCCAACACACTCCTTTCATGGATCCCGAGAGCTGGGTTGAGGACCTGCACTGTCCCCAGCCTGGGTTCAAGGAAGGACTTTCTGTGGGTTCAGCTGGAGCAGCTGCGTCCTTGGTGTCTGGCAGATCACAGACTGAGTTTGGGAAGAGTTAAGGTAATGGGAGCTCCAATCTCTGGCCAGTCCTTGGAGAACCCAAAAGAAGCGGTGTTGTGTGTGTTCTTGGACCCCTCTCTCTCCATTTGCTGGCCTCCCTTTGCTCTTGGTGGGAACTAGCGGGAGCCTGGAAGTGAGCTCTCAGGTGAGGACCATCTTGCAGGGTCCCAACTCCCTGAGATGCAGCCCAGAGCTCTGCTACCCTGTCCAGAGGTGGCTTCTTGGCATTCTTGCTGTGTGGTGAGTAATGTTGAGCAGCAGCCTGATAGGTCTCCTTCATCGTGGCTTCTTCCTATCTCCCCACTCTCTCCAGGCCAAGCAGTCCTTAGCCACGCTGACCAAGGACGTCCCCAAGCGGCATTCACTTGCTATGCCAGGCGAGACGGTGCTCAACGGCAACCAGGAGTGGGTGGTGCAGGCGGACCTCCCGCTGACTGCAGCCATCCGGCAGAGTCAACAGACTCTCTACCACTCCCACCCTCCCCACCCTGCAGACCGGCAAGGTGAGTCCTACTCAGCCTGGCCCCGCCATGGCTTCAAGTGCTGTTTAGGAGGCCATCCAACCTGATGGGAGAGGCAGGTTCACACTACAGCAGCCTAGGACAGTGTGGGGCAGAGACCATGGGCTCTTGTTACTGACAAGCCTAAGAGATAGACTTCAGGAATAGCTGGCTCCAGAGGTCAAACAATAGCTGAGTGTTCTCTAACCATTTCTCTCCATCTCTCAGCTCTACACACCTCCAACAGACCTCATCTTTGGACTGTCTCTTGCTACTGAAGCAAAACCAGACCCCAAAAGTTCAACTTTTAAGGCTTTTAAAGTTCACAAATCCTGAGAAACAGAAACCATCTCTTCCCTCTGTATCTATATCAGACTCCAAAAAAAAGAGTTTGATTGTCCAACCCTAGGCCAACTACTGTGTCTAGAGAGGAACTGGTACCGATTGGTCAGCCTGTGTCACATGCCCACCCTGGACCAATCACTGTGTCTAGAGAATAGCACATATCTTGATTGGCTAGCCTAGTCACATGCCCACTCTGGACCAATGACTGTGTCTACAGAGAAGTAAGTATCCTTATTGGCCAACTTCAGGAGAAGCATCAGAGTCTTTGATTGACAGGATATGCAAGAAGATGGAGTATAAATGTCACAGGTATATTTGCTCCAGACTCTTGACAGGGGCTACCTGAGCAATGACTGTGGACTGGGTCCTCGGCTTCTTTATGCGTAAAAGGGGCACTGGGTTCTTAGTCCATGGGTGGATTGTGAATCCGTTTACTGAGACTTCCCTCCACCCACCTCATCATCGTCCTGGCGATGAAATGCACACAGTTTCTGGAATGGGGCCCGGGTAAACACTAGCTGCTGCTCTCATCAGTATCACCGTCACCGTCGTTGTCTTCATTGATAGGTGGCACACAGGACTTTTAGAAATTGACAGTAAGCAAGCACAATGCTCCCTCCCAAATGGAGACTGTCTATCCAGGGAGGGATGACTCCAGGGTCGGGACTGGGGTGGGGGGCTTCTCCTTTGGAACCAAAACACAGAGGCAGAAGAATAAAACCACACATGTCCAGCTTCCTCCTCGGGCAGGGAAACTGAGCCCCCTGAGAGAGCTGCTGCTCCTTTACCTCCTTGAAGTCCAGGTACACAGCCAGCTCTCCTGCTCCTGGGCCAGCTGGGGTGACAGGAGGCAGAGGTGCTGTTTGAAGAGAGATAGGACTTGGGGCAGCTTCAGTCACATGACGGCACCTGACACCTGGCATCTCCATCTGCAGCGGCGGCGGGGCCCCTCCTTCGTGGAGCACATGCTGGGCTGCGAGGAGCTTGCAGGCTGACAGATCTGCCCTCCTGGTCCTGCCTCTGCAGTCCCTGCCTCAGCTGCCGACACTTCCTCCTCTGGGAAGCCTTCCTTGCTTTCTCCTCTGCCCTGTCCCCTGGGTGAGACTAGACACTGACTACATCAGAGCATCACCACCCACACACCTCCCTACAGATACACTTGCCCTCCGCTCCTTCCATCACCCGGTGCCTGCCTTGCAGTAGGCATGTCACACATAGCTACCATGTGGCGTGGGGGCCATAGTCATCCACATTTCCCAGTAACAGAACCGGCTCAGGGAGGGTGGAGAGCATGCCCCAGGCCACACAGCCTGTGGGGTCACCTGGACTGAAACTGACTTGGCCCCGGCACACTTCAGCACCTCCACACACACAGTCGGCACTCAGGTAATGGCACACACTCCCTCAGCACAGTGCTGGCCCTGCAGACAGGAGAGCAGTCTACCGGGCACCCTCGAGGGCTTCTGAGCCCTCTGTTTATTCACCCACTGTTTATTGAGCCCCTACTTGTACTGGACTGCATGTGGTCTGGAGTCGGACACAGATAAGAGACATAGGACGCCTCCTCCACGGAGCTGACCCAGTCAGTGAGCAGACAGACGGCACTGTGTTCATAGAGCAGCAGGAGTCAGGGTGATGGTGCACCTGGCGAGTGGAGGAGCTCCAGGGCCAGGCCGGAGGGAGACAGCAAGTGCCAGCAGGAAGGAGGCTGATGTGACTCAAGTGTGGTAACAGTGTTAGGTGTTCCCAATGGGGCCCGAGGGTTGTGTGCCAGGCTTGGGGCCAGGATGGGAAGTGTGTGTTTCACTCCCAGAGCAGCAAGATGCCTGTGGCTCCCACTGCAGAGGGTGGCTCAGGGAGAGGCTTCCACATCTTCCAGGAAAGAGCCAGCAAACCCTGAGGGGTAGGGGACATGTGGATGGACTTGCAGCTGTGTTTCAGAGGCACCTTGCTGGGGAAGGAGAGAGCTCAGTGGTCACCTCCACTGACTTAGGGAGATCCTTGCTGGGAATCTGGTGTTGGACAGGTGAAGGCCACACCAAGTCTAGGACTATCAAGGTGAAACTCCCAGGGGAGGGGCTTTGATTTCTGCAATGTGGCGGGGTCTTCCCATAAGTTGCCCTACGGGAACAGGCAAGACTCAATGTTCCCAGCTGTATAATGGGAACATTGGGTGCACAGCAGAGACATCCTGTCCAGTCTCACTCACCAGCTGTCCCTGCCTTCTAGCCGTCAGGGTGAGCCCCTGCCACTCCCGGCAGCCCTCCGTCATCTCCGATGCATCTGTGGCTGAAGGCGACCGGTCATCCACACCAAGCGACATCAACTCCCCGAGACACCGGACGCACTCCCTCTGCAACGTAAGGCCAGCAGCAGCAGGGCTGGGCGCCCGGGCCCTGCCCAGGGACCACGGGGCAGGGGGTGGGTGAAGTTGCCCCACTCTTTACTCTCGTCCACCCAGGGAGTGCTCTGGCGGAGGAAGGCATTTCCTCTTCTGTTCTTTCCTTTTGCAAGAAGCGCTGGATGTGGGGAGCGAAAGAAAGGAGGCCCGTGTGCTCCTTGTGTCCGGGAGGGCGTGGAGAGCTCAAGGAAGGCCAGCCGGGTTGGCCACAGGGTCTGTGAAGCCCACAACTCTGCCCAGGGGGTCCCTTCTGGGACCCAGAACCTTCCAGAACACTGTATCCCTCAGCACCGGCTCTCATCCTGCATCTAGGGATGGAGCCCGATTGTTTGGTTTGGTTGGGGTTTTTTGTTTCCAGGGATTTGAGAAGGTGTTTCCTCTGGCAAGAAAGCATCCTGTGAATTTCTTCTAAATTTGTTTACTTGCTAGTTTAATCATACACTTTCAGTTACATCCTGGGTACAGCTGCTCATAGACTGGAGTCACCAGTCAACTAACTCTGGATGGCCGGGGAGTGAGGCTGATGGGTTCTGTATTAGTCCATTTCCATTGCTGTTGCAAAATATTTGAGGCTGGGGGGATTTATGAAGAAAAAAAAGGTTTGTTTAACACACAGCTTTGGAGCATGGGGCCAGCACTGGTGCAGCCCTCTCCAAGGCACATCCGATTATGTCCATGGCCGGAAAACATGCAAGAGGGAGAGGTCGCACCGTGAGACAGGAAGCTAGGAGTTGGGGAGGGCCAGACTTTCCCTCTATAACAACTCAAGAGAGTGGAGTCGCTGGGATCCCCTGAGAGTGACCTGAATTCCTTCCAAGGGCAGGGTACATGCAAGCGGTCGGAGACATGTCCACCTCCAGTGTGACACGTGGGTCGGGTGTGGGCCCTATAAGGATTCTGCTCCATCGCATGGTTGGTAACACGGCTCCCTGCTATGTCCTGAGACAGACATCGAAGGGTCAGGTCTGCCAATGCCCAGGAAGGCTTTTTCAAAAACTCAGTTAATGTTGCTTTATAAACCAGTAAAACATAGCGGAGAGAAACGAGGCAAACATGTTGGGAGCAAAGGCAAAGCGATTATTCTCTGATGATGCAATGGGGCCCATTACGAGCCCATGCATCAGATGCAGGGCGAGATCAGTAATGACTTCCCTACAGAAGAGGAGTCATGATGGAAACTTTCTTTGCATCTACAATAAAAACGAAATGCTCTTATAAAAATTGCTCAGACATGGGCTGTGGATTTAGCTCAGTGGTTCCGCTGCCTGCCTCGCAAATGCAATGTCCCAAGTTCAATCCCCAATACCAAAAAAAAATATCTCAGACTGAAGAGGCTGCCTCAGCCCAGTAGAGTGGGCAGTGGGGACCACAGGCCCAGGGGCCTCACGCAGATGCCCGGCTCAGGGCTGGGCTTCCCTCCGGCTGTGTGGAAGCAGAGAGGACCTGGTGACAAAGGCTGTCTTGATAGAGAGAGCCCAGGCAAGGAGACAGGCTGCTCTGGGGTCTCTGGCATCCACTCTGTGGCTTGGGAAGCCCCGTGTGCTATCACACCTGGAGCTGGCAGTGCCCCAACCTTCCTGAGGGCCACCCTCTGCCTTCTGATGGCCTCAGACAGCAGGACTTCGCTAATAGGTGCATCCACAGAGGGCTCTCAGGCTTCTTGAGGGGCAGCCAACAGAGGCCAGCCTCTCTCCAGCCTGCTGTGGTACCTGCGTGCTGCTGGCATGGTGCTGTCCCAGCACACCCTGCACAGGCACTCTGGCAGCTGGCTAGGAGTCTGCGTACTGCTTCTCAGTGGCCCCTGGCTCATTCTTTTACCCAAACATTGGATGAAGGTGGTTCTTCCTAGAACTATTTTTGTTGCCTACAGAATAGGTTCTGTTGACCAAACTTGAGTTGAAACCAAAGACCAAAGCTTTTGCTATATATATATATATATATATATGTTAATTGGTACATTTTAGGTATACAATACATTTACATTTATCATTGG